TTTTTTTTTTTTTTTTTTTTTGGTCAGACTTTGAAATATAACATTGAGAGAACAACAATACGTAACTTTTATGGAAGATAAGAAGTAGGAAAAGAAGGTGGGAGAGTGTAAAAGATGAAGAGAAAAGAGGAACAAAAATGCGAAACAGTTTAGTATACGTAAAGAAAACTAAATAATTACGGTGTGTATTTGAAGACTTATATAGCTGCTAGGTGAGGACCAGATTTTTATCTCAAACACTCTGTCCCCTTTGTATTGTTGATGACCGCCCACTTGAAACATCACTAACAATCAGCAATTCCAGTCTAAACATATAGAAATAACCTCAGTAAACTTGTCAGATTTCTGAATTAAGGTCTGCTTTTTCGATTCATAGCACCCGATTTCATCAAATACTTTTGTTTTCAGAAATTTTTATTTATTGACACAGAAAGAAAAAAAAATTTTTTTTTCCTTTGTATCAAAATATTGTTACGATATCTGGTAAAAAAAAAAAGTAAAAGCAAAATTTTTTGGCAGAAATCTAGCACAATTCGTTTTCTTTTTTTCTTTCTATTATGTTTTCTTTTAAGGTTTTTTTTTCAGTTTTCTTATTTTCCACAGATATAGATTAAAAAAACAAAAAAAGTTTTCAGAAAATGTTATTTTACACTGCAATAAAAAATTTAATTTTTTTTCTGTAGTCTACTAAAAACACCTCGAAGATAAATTTTTTTTACTTCAAGTGATTTCTTCAGCGAGAGGAATACTCACTTTGACTGCACTCTAAGATGGATAATCCGTCTCAAATGGTAAAAAAAAATAATAATAGAAGAAACACTGAGTCCCTTGAAACATTTTCGCTAAAGAATAAGAAAGGGATGAGTAAAAAAGTGTCCGCTGTAGAATCTGTTCTTTGCCGTTGCTGTCGTTGTCACCGTTGTCGCTGTTGTTGTTATTGTTGTCGTCGCCGCTGTCGTCTTCGTCGTCGTCAGCGTCGTCGCCAATACCAGCAACAACAACATCATAATCATCATCATCATCACCATCGTCATCATCATTTGTAACAAAAGCCGATCAAAGAATCTGTATTAGTTGAGTGATGACAAAACTGCAACATTCTACCTATTCTTTCGACTGTGGCCGTCACTTTCTAGGGGTTAAAAACGTCAAACAACACTCGTGGGTGGGCAGTGACAGTCTTCTTAGCCGGACCTTTCAATTAAGTGCTGAGAAAACAATGCACCTTATGCAGTTCAATTCCGGTAATTGAGAATTCATAACATTCCACTGATTTGTCAAAACGAATTATTGAATTCTTCAAATAAAGGTGGAATTGAACAGCTTCTCCACTACAAAAATGCCTTTTGAAACCTCTCGTTCATAAAAAGTTTAATCTACTCTTTTACGGCACAAAAGATATTTTTGTGTTCTTATTTTTCTCTGTTTATCCATCTTATAATTATTAAAATAAAAAAAATTTTTTTTGATAACTGATTCTGGCTTACTTATGACTATAATCTTGGCAAAGTAGACGTAACTTTACCAATAAAAGGAGCAGTAATCTATTGCTGTATTGCATCTACCGTAAAATACAAGAAACAGCAAGGGAAAAGTCAAATGAAAAAGATAGATTCCGATGGCTCCAATAAAATTTGGTTGGGACAGATCTTGCTTTTTTTTTTATCAATTATACTTCAATGCTTTACCTTATCATCTGTTTTTTTTTAAAGCCTTCTTCAAACGCTATTTTACTTACCTAGTTCCAAAAATTTTTGTTCACGAATTGTTTGCTGTAATTAAAATGTCTTTTGTTGACTGTTGTTAGCTGTAGTATTTTAAGACTAATAATTTGTTAAGTAAATCAAGATTTATCTTCTAAATATAACAACAATATTTTGATTGCAGTCCTGATTCTCAGTTCTGGTTTATGACTCAAAATCTACTGTTGTCGGTAAGAATTTTTTGGTCGTTGAAATAAGAATATCGAATTTACTTAATTCGGTGTTTTTTAACTCTGAAAGTTAAAATTTGATAAAAAAGTTCTAAAATTTTTCTTGTTAACTTCAGTACATTGCTTTAGATATGAAGAACTTTACTGTTAGACAGTGGCGATCAAAACCTTCAGCAGTTTAGGCACTGTTGAAGTCTATCCATTAGATATAGCATATGCTTGCAACTAAAGATTTTTGCTCTACTTTTTTGGTTTTATAAGACTTTAAAAATGCATAATACAACCGTAAAAATTTCAGAAAGTTCTCTGTTATGTTTGCTTAATTAAGCTTTGTTAAAATGTTTATCTTTACCGCTAGCTATCAATAATTACAGTCTAAAAAACAAATGTAATTTGAAATAGTAGAAGTATCTATACTGAAATAATATGATAGGTAATGACAAGGTGACGACCAAAGTTGCTTACCATCCAGTTCTGTTTTGTGTGACGTAATTTTTCAAACACCATTTTCTCAAGAAGATCATTGCTTAGAAGTATTTCTGATTATGACGATCAGACACAAAAAGCGTATTATTTTTTTCACTTTTGAGTGCTGTCTCCGTTATTCTGAAAAAAAATTTATGCTAAAAATCACAACATGACTGCTTTCTCAAGAATTCTGCCAAATTAGCTGATCAAACGTAAACAAAAAAAAATATATATATAGTGTTAGTTGCAGAAACAGAAGTTTTTTTATTTTTGTATTAAAATTAATGTAATTTTCTTGATAAAAAGTAATACAATTTACTGTATGAAATTTGTTACAATAATTGCAAAAAGAGGAAATTCTTTTGAAATTGCACACTGCCAATAATACTCAGTCAAAACAAAAAAATTTTTTTTTGTTGTTTAAAAGAGAAAGTAATGTGTGTGCATATCGGATTGGTTTCTGAATGGTAAAAGCGATGATATTTGGACAGTTTGATTCGATTTTTAGCGAGACATCAAATGTTAGCTGAAAGCAAAAACAAACAAAAGATTTAAGGTTTAGCTGAAGAGAATGGCAATCCAAAAAACAATGAACAACGAAGACTTAAGCAAATTTGTCAATTTTTCAGCGAAGGGTCAATTTTAAACTGTACGATTTTTATATCCAGCAAAAAGTAAATGATACACAAAATCGCTTTTTCACAGTTTTTATTTTTTTATTTTTTTGCTCACTTTTATTGTCAAAAACTCCACCAATCTTTGTGCTGAATAACAAGGCGTACGCTACCAAATTATTGAACAGAAAAAAATTTAAGTCTTTTAAATATAGTAAATTCTTAGAAGCTACAGCTACTTATTAAGTACGACAGCACTTAAGTAACA